TTTTTTTTTTTTTTTTTTTCACAGAAAATTAGTATTTGTCAGCCAGCCGAATGCCGTCCGATTAACATCACTTAGCTGCAGTAAAGCTTTGAATTTGCAAAAACAGTCCGAAGTTAAAAAAAAACACCTAAATGCCAATTGAACACTCATATATGGTCATAACTTGATATTAATAAAAATAAAACAGTTATTCTTGCATCTAAGCATAATTGAGCAGATATTTGCTAAAAAACGAAACAAAATAGTGTCACGTTTCAAATTACGGTTTTTTTTTAAAAACAGATCTATTTACAAAACCCAAAAAAGCACACTTTTTTTTCGCTTTTTGCAAGTCAATTTTTGCTCATCTTTATTACTGAGAAGAACTGATTAAACAGTTATGTATGCTTATTATTTCTTCGAAATTTTTGAAAGGAAAGTTTCAAGCTACATCAGCATGCATGTTAACGACTATGGTATTTAGTTGCCAGTAAAAGTGTATTATAAAAAGCCGTTGTTTGACTGTTTATTTGTTGCTTCCAAACAATTTATTTCTATGTTTTTTTTTCTAACATTAAAATTGAAAATTATTGCTTTTTCTGAACAAGGATTATCAATTTGAATTTATTTTTTTGATGTTTGCCGTGCTATTTCAGCTTTACAATCGATTAGACCAAGCCCAATTCAGAACGGTAAGCTAATATGTTTTATCATCAATCACTGTTTCACTATTGCGTTTCGGTTACTAAAATCATAACCAAAAAAAAAGAAAGAAAATGATGATACTAAAAGCAATAATAACAGTAATAAATAATAATGGTAATAACTGATTTGTGTTAAAGGGTAACACGTATAATAGCTTATTTTATTTACTAAAAACGATACATTCGTAATTATTTTTTTTTTTTGGAGGGAGGTTTTTTGTGGTGTATTAAAGGCAATTTGTAAATGCAACGATGATAGTCAATAATAACAGTAGTAAGTGATACAAAATTCCACTTTTGTTACAGACTAACTTTATTAAACTTTCTTTTACACGTTTAAGCCATTTTGTGTTTCTTTTAACAGTACAGTTGAGAATTGTGCTAAAACGCTAGTTTTTTTTACTTATTATGTTGGAAATATCATTTCCATAATTCAGAGCACTGTCCGCCATGTAAACCAGCGACTAACAAATTGAACTACAAGAAATTCTGTCGGCGAGATTACGGTAAGGATTCACTTGAGCAGTTCCAATTTGACCAATTCAAAATTATCAACAACAACATTCTTTTTATTAACTGAATTTTAGTAAATAATCAAATGATATTTCTAGCTATCAGTGCCCAAGTAATAAGCAAGGAGGTCATAAATGGTTGGGTAAAGTTTCGGCTTCTTATCCGAGATACATTTAACCGGAATAACAACTATTTTCCCAGACGTGGTGAACAATCATTGTGGATTAGCAGCAGTCGAGTGCTATGCAACTGTCCTCGAATAAAAGTTGGACGACAATACCTCGTTTTGGGTTGGTGGCTAAATTGGCTTGATTGACAATACGCCTAAACATGCTTCATCATTTGATTACGTCTCTTCATACATCTTTTAATTATCTGCTAAAAACATACCCTGACTGAGAGAACTGTTCGCCTGATCGCTGTACAGAGCGGTGCAAATACAGCGTCTGATCTTTTTAGGGCGCTTCGATAAAAACGACCTAAGCAGACCCGGAATTGTACTGAATCAGAAGGGTGTTGTTGTCGAGTGGGACGACGAATTACACAAGAAGATCCTTAAACTGCTGAAGAAAGAAAGTCGTGGACAATGTCCGGTGCGACGACGTCGTCTTTAGAGTGTAACAGCACTTAACAACAGCAAAATAACTTTGAAAAAGCTTTTCAAAAGAAATTCTATTTTACTACAAGAATTTAGGCGTATTTTCATTATTTCTCCACCTAAAGCTAGTCTCGTACTGATGCATCTGAACATACTTCGAAATAAACGATTATTCTGTAAGAAAAATAATAAAATTATTTAGAAGAAAGCTTTAGTAAGCAGAAACTTCTCATCTGATGTAGAAAAAGCAGTAAATTTTGTTCTTGTTCCTTTTTGTTTTTTAAGACCTCTCATTTTTGCTGGAAGAACATTTCGAAGGAGATAAGCGAATATTTGAATAAAACAAAAAAAGAAAAAAATTTATGCAGGTTAATTGAAACATGACACTTTTCTACTGAGCGATTAGAAGCTTGTGCTTAGTTGTTGTCTT